ATAGGCGCCGAGCCTATAATCTTAGTTACTTGGAAGGCTGAGGCAGAAGCATCTCTTGAGCCTAGGAGTTTGAGACCAGATCAGCATAGTAAGACCCCTGCCTCAAGTAAATAAATAAATAGAATAAATGGATAAATGGGGAAGAGGGAGGGAAGGTCTAGCTCTTTCTTATAGTAGAAGCTCAATCAATAAATGTAGAAGGAAGAGGGAAATAGAGAAGTGCCATTAGGTAAATATCACAGTAATAAACATTTATTTATTTATTTATTTGTTGCCCTTGGTAGAATGCCATGGCATCATAGCTCATAGTAACCTCAAACTCTTGGGCTTAAGCAATCCTCTTGCTTCAGCATCCTGAGCACCTGAGACTACAGGTGCCCATCAGGACGCCCAGCTATTTTTTTAGAGACGGGGTCTCGCTCTCACTCAGGCTGATCTTCAATTCTTGAGCTCAAGCAATCTACCCTCTTTAGCCTCCCAAAGTGCTAGGATTACGGGCATGAGCCATCATGCCAGGCTGTGTGATAAACATTTAGACAATGCTAAAATTAATGGATGATGATGAAGAGAAATAGAATTTGTATAGTCTCAAAGTATCTCCGGAAATATATTTATCAACTATAAAAACTTTACAGTGAAGAAATTTGGCAGACACCTACTGAACCATGTGATCGAGGTAAACATTACTGGTAATAAGATATAGACTTCATGATTCTTTTGATAAAATGCACTAAGGACACGTTGTTCTGATGCATTCTTGCCAAGGGTACATAACTCCACTCTAATCATGAGAAACCACATATTGAAGGACATTCTACAAATATAATTGATTTGGTATTTTTTATTAAGTTCCTAGTGTTGCATAACAAATCACCATTAATTTACCAGCTTAAAACAACAACTGTTTAATATCCTATAGTTTCTATGTGTCTCAAGTCCAGCACATTTTAACTGGGTTCACTGCTCAGGGTCTCATGAAGCTGAAAGCAAGGTGTTGACCAGCTATATTCACATCTAGAAGCTCAACTAAAGAAAGATGCTTTTTCAAGCTCCCTTAGTTGTTGGTAGAAATCATTTCCGAGCAGCTATAGGACCTCTGTCAGCTCCTAGAAGGTACTCACCTCTTTGCCATGTCACCACCTCCTTAGACACTCACACACATCCATGCAAGCAAGCTCTCTGGCTTCAGGGAGGGCCCCATCATTTTTAAAGACTCATCAGATTAGATGAGACCCACCCAGATGCTCTCCCTTTTGATGAGTCAGTGTTAACCAATAAGTAATGTAATCACAGGAGTGGTATCCCATCATAGTCACAGGTTCTGCTACATTCAGAAAGTACACAAAGTGTGTATACCCTTAGGTGAAAATCTTAGAAGTCATCGTAGAGTTCTGCCAACCTCAGCACTCTTCAAAAGGGTCAAGGTCATGAAAGATAAGGAAAGACTGAAGGGATATTGCAGATTAGGGGATTAGGAGGAATAAAATTAAATGCATTGTGTGATCATAGGATCAGGATAACAGAAAACGGACATTAAAGAAAAAATTAGTGAAATTC